ACGATTTTTACTAAAGATGGTCTACAATTTTTTAAAATATGATACAAAAGTAAAAAATAAATAAAATTAACATTAACAATATTGAAATCTATATACACCAATCATCTTTTTTGAAAAAAAATTAATAAATATAAAATTTATGAAATATTTAAAAATTAAAAGTTCAATCAATTATATTAAAACTTAAACTTAAAGAAAAAAAAACTAACAATATCCTAGAGGCAAAGATCGTTGTTGACTCCTCTGTTGCAATAAACTGCCTACAATCTCTTAAAAGCAATAACCCTTTTTAATTCTTTTGTCACAACCGAAATCCTACAATCTCTTAAAGGCGATGATCTCTGTGGGTTCTTCTCTTTTCATCAATGAAATGGGAGGAGATTTATACAGAAGATGAAGAAGAATCCTTACTAGTTTGAGGAGATTTATTCCATATTTTTATTTTATATTAATATAAAATAAAATAAAATTTTCTTATCATGATATTTAAAAATAGGAAATAAATACCAAATGATAATAGACATTCTATATTAGAATATGAAAATTTAGAAAATAATGATAATGTGATGTGTACCATTTATGATTTTTTAATTTGGGAGAAAAATTGAGATGAGTATATTTAATCTCCCATTTGGAATTTAGTCTCAAATTCAATTTACCTTATTAAAAAATATTGATACGTCTCTTTAACATCCTCTCTCTCAAGTGGTTTCATGCTCTATATGATGTTGCTAGTTGTTAATGTTGTTCTTGGTCGTTCCTCCTTGTGGTGTGGAGATGGGACCAACCAAGTGTGGGAACTTGAAAAATGTTCATAAATGAATTGAAGGTAAGCACTTAAAGATGTTTGTGATAAGGTAACAGCAAGAATAAAACATAAACCAGAGAACATGACAGTTTTAGCGTGGTTCGGTCAACGTGATCTACATCCACTTTCGGCTTCCTCCTCCGACAAGGTCACCGGCGTCCACTAGAGGCCTTCCTTCAATAGGCGAAGGCCAATTACTTTTTACACCCCCCTTTTCCTTTTCACAGGTTTAGGAGTCAACCTTTACAAGCACTCATTCTCCTCTCTAAATAGAATTCTAAGTTTAAAGCTAGAGGAGCGATCTCTCAAGTGATTTCAGCAGTGTTTCTTTTCTTTTAGGCTCTCTGTGCTTGTGTGCTTTAACCAGGGATGAGAGGAGTATTTATAGGCTTCAAGTTGATTCAAACTTAGAGCATAAAAATATCTCATCCCGGGTTCCTCGGGCACGGGCAGTACCATCGCCCAGTATCAATCTGACACTGACACTGCCCTGGGCGGTATCGCCCAAGTCTGGCGATACTACCGCTTGGGGCGCAGTGCAGGGTGGTACCACCACCTGGCACCCTACCAGGGGCGGTACAATCGCACAGACTAGCGGTACCACCGCCTGACACAGTCTCAAAAACTGTGCCACAACGATGAGACTTTTTGGGGCACTATTTGGGCCTCTTATTGGGCCTAACATAGTTCTTACATGAGCCTAGTTGGCCCCTAATTAGGTTGGCCCAAATCCAAGCCCAATTACGTGCTAACTATGAAATCCTAAGACATTTGTTAAGCTAAACAAGTCCCTATATCTATTCTTCCGATGAGCTTCCAGCGAACTTCCGACGATCTCTCGATAATGTTCCGACGGACTCCCGGCAAGCTCCTGGACTTCACGATGATCTTCTTGGCGAGTTCCGACGAGCTTCTCTGGCAAGCTCCAAGACTTTTTTGCTGGTTCCACCAGAACTTCCAACGAACGTCCGAACTTACGACGAACTCTCGAACTCCCAACGAAATCGCGTCCTTGACTCCGGGACTTCATTTTGCTTCATACCTTGCTATCGTAGTTAATCCTTCACATGTAAAACATACTTCGATCTAGATAATTAATACTAAGCATTAATCACATTGTCCGATCATGTCATTGGTCCCTCGACGCTTCATCTGATTCTTTGACGCATCGTCCTCTCTTGCAACCTATTGCCCAATCAGCCAGTTGACTCCGCAACTCCAATATCCTTAGCGCAATATCCACTCTTCTTATTCTGATGCCCAAATCCATGGCTCGAAACCTTTTGTCGATACGTCGACCGATCCATCGGTTCGACGTCCAATCTTCTAACATGTTTTCCCCCAGCACAACATAATTTTTCTTGCTTTAATTATCTCATCCTGATCGAACCATCCTATGTCACTCAAAACATAGATTAAAACATAAATATAATTATCAATTAATTTCATCATCAAAATATAATATTCAACACAATCTCCAAAAGAAGCTTTTATCCAACAAATTGATAAAACACATGAAAAATCAATTGTCATATATCTGACCAGTATTTGAAGAAGCCTTTTTTATTTGACTTACTCATCAACTCCAAACACTAGTAGGCATGATATAGGCAATAATTATTTTACCTATCACTTGATTTTGGCTAGTCATTTATATTTTGACTCATTGTTGCTTCTTTGTCCATTTGATTATATACTTCGATATCAGTGTGTTTTTCAAGTAGTTTCATCTTGATTAATTGAAATATAAGTTATAACTAGCTCACATAACTTCTGCCATCATATTATAGGAATATATTCTCTGCATACATCATTGATATTAATGTTTGCTACATCAATCTTATTTTTTAACTATGTTAAGGCTCTCTCGGAGCAAACTACGAGCTCTAAGATTTTTTTTAAAAGAAAAAAATTATAATTTCTTTTATTGATCAAATCAAGAAGAGAAGAAAAAGAATAATTTTGATATAAATGAATCAAATCGATCTTAGTTATCAGGAATTAAAATAATAATAACTATTTTATAATTCAAAATATTATAAAAGTTAGCATATATTCCAAACACACTAGATTAGACGGAATAAATTATATAGAACCCACAACAATTTAAATTGCATAAACTACCTATAATTAATTCATACAAAATTTTGAAAGGAAAGAAAAACCAAAATAACACCGTTCTAATACCAATAAAACTAAAAGCAAGAAATATCATGCCACATATATGAACATAATTGTAGAAAAATCAAATTAAAGCATCCTTTAATTATTTTTGGAAGCTTTATAAGTTGCTTTGTGCTAAATACATTTTGCTTATTTGCCAAGTAATCAGTGTTCTGCTCACACAAGACAAAAACATTTATGACAAATTGATATAACAAGACTTGGACGATACCTACTCAAGACAGACTTGGAGTTAACCAAAGAGGAGGCGGCCAATAGTGATATCCAAGATGATCTACCGGTCGCGTCATCTCATCCTCCAAGTAGAATATTCCGATATGACGTCTATTATATCTATAGGATCCACAGATGTCCAACATATCATCAGTATAGTAGATACAGTTTTGTTTCAACTCTGGAAAGTCTATAGTAGAGAGGCACAATGATTGATTTGTGCCTATGAACAGTGTTTGCTCGTGTAAGTTCTTCACCGTTTTTCACTTATAAGTCTGCTCATCTAGGAAAAACACCGTACACATGATGTTCTTAGGGTTGTCCGTAGGACTCCACTTATTTTGTTCCTTTTGTACCATCATCAAATTACCGTCTAGGGACTCAACCAAGTAACAAATGCCCCTTAGCAAAACATCCGGAGGCAAGTCTAAGTTGATGATGCTGAAGACAAGTTCATCGGCCTCCCATACCTCGATCATCTGGCGATAATTGATAGTGTAGAATTTGGCGTTGCGATAAATTATGTCGGAGTAATAATAAGGCGAGATTATAGGTGTCCAAGCCTTATCCCCAGCTCGGGCAAAGGCTAGCTTACACCAATGGCTATAGATCATCATGATGGTGAAGTCATTGTCTGCATCAGGAGCTTTAGAGATGACGACCTTGCGGATGAACTTGAGCCATAAAGAGTAATGGTTATTATCTTGTTCCACATTGAAGTTGGTGATTTGTCCTTCTAAATTATAAATGTCTCTGATAAAGGGTAAGGTTAGCACCGAAGGGAGTCGGATTTGAGCCCCAGTGAGTGGATTCAAAAGGTGCATGTTGCAGCGTCCATCCAAAGTGACCAGCCAACCATGACAAGAACCGACATAGATCCTTTTACCGATCATAGGTTGCGGGCATTGAATCTTATAAATTTTCTTCTCGACAATAGAGAAGAACTTGGCCGTGGAATTGTCATCACCGGAGAACATGAGCCACGGGGCTTGTGGCCTTAGACGGCATTGGTCCTCGAACTTGTTGACCAAGTTCCAATGTTTACAAACGGCTTTGAAACGTACGTAATCACAAATCGAGAGTTCATCATGAATCATACCCAAGACGTCTTTCGTGAGCTCTGACCAATTTGCCATAAGAAAAGAAGAAAGCGTACAGAAGTCTTTTCCACCTGTTTCTTCGATCTATCGCTATATCAAAGCTGCTTCGCAAATTAAGATCAAAAAAATTATTTCAATAGTCATTCTCAGTACGGATCTCCTAAATTAAGTTTCAAAAATATAAATATCCATAATCAAACTTTATCTAAAATAAACGAGTAATCTTAGGACAATACATTCGTTAACCATAACAGTGTAGTTCAAACATTGTAAGAAGTAAATGAGAGAATTATTTAACCATCACGTCTAATAACTCATTAATT